ATGATTATTCTGTGTAACATACTCAGAGTTGTTAAGTCGTAGTCTCTCTTAGGGATTGCCCAAATAATCCTAAAACGAGTATGCCATTGTAATTAATCAATTTTGCAACAAAGAATCGCATTGGCTTGCGTGTTAGACTACTTTATAACAGAATTAAAATTATCTTTATTCAGCTCTGCCAAATGAAAAAGTTCCACGATCGATCAAAGTCCATTTAATTATTTATTTGTTTACAAATAAATCATCTATTTGAAGTTTGGCATTAATCAGATCTGTATTTTTCCAAAGGAAACGGACGTTTTATTTTCGGTAACTTCTTATTTAATTGATTGAATTCTATCTTACTCTTACTAATATTATAAATGCGAAAGTTTACATGAATCAATGTATGTTTGTTTGAGTTTGTAGCCTAAAATGCTGAAAAATTTCGATGAAATTTGACATAGATGTTGAGGATAGTGTGGAATAACACATAAACTACTTACTTTTTTTTTTAAATTCCACTCGGACGATGTCGCGTGCGAGAGCTTGTGATTTATAATTATAAGATGTCAACAGCAACACACAAATTGACCTATGACTAAGTAATGACTGATTTAAAAAACTTAATAAAAGTATTTATTCGTAATCTGTGCTTAGACTGCCTAGTGGATGTGTCAAAGCGATTATTTATCCAGCCATTACGAGGCAAGATTGATTACAGTACCCATTAAGGTGGGTAGGCTAAAAATAACGCTTCGAGCGCTGACTCAGATCGATCTGAAGGCTCTTCCACGTTCCGTTTCACTTCCGAGTTCATGATCAATGCGCACATTAAATGTTAAAGTTAGGGTGCTATTAAATTAGAGTCAATGCCCTAGTGACGTAACACGACTGACGGTCGAAGATAAAAATCTGGAATATCTTCTCTCTACGCATTTCTAAACTACGATACTTTTTTTACCACCGTTCACAAATCCATACGATTTACTAAAGATAAGTTATTGAAAATTAGTAAAAAATTGCGCGCGTGAAATTAAATAATGATAAAAGATATGGCCTATGTTACTCACTGAACGTAGCTTTTCAATGATGTAAGAATTTTTAAAATCGACCCATGAGTTATTTCAATACATACAAAAATTGGTATATATACCCTTAGACTTGTATACTCGCAATTCCTGTTCTGGGGCTTTGCGTTCAATTTATAGCTCTGTAATATAATTTTCTATGCGACATTGTATTTATTAATTGATATCGACATAAAAATATGAGGCTTGACACGCAAACTGTGTTGCCCTTACACTACAATTATAAAGCGATTATTCTAGATTATTCTATGATACGTCCGTACTAGACCTTCAATGTTATGTTGCAATGATTAATGTTCAAACAGATAGATAATTAAACACATCGATTGACCGAAAAATTCTAATACCGTTCGTGAAACGTTACGAGCATTGTATAAGTGCTGGTTTTAAAAGCAGAGATTTTCTCATTAAAAAAAGAAAAATAGTACAAGAAAAAAAAAACGAGTTTATTCGTAGAATAATTAACAATATTCAGCGAAGTAAAAATTCCTTGATGCAATTGTACTTATCAAGGTGGCGCCATTTATCTTACGTTTCTCCTTGTTCGATATCTAATTGCAATTAATTCTTATTTCTTTAACATTTAGCTCTCTTAAAAAGATATGTGCTGCAAATTATAGCAATTAAAACTCTGTAGAAATTACAAAAAGAACTGGCCGGCGAGAAAATACCCGAAAAAGAAACATTCCAAAGATTCTGAAGGAAAAATTCTTTCTCGATTATTAAATCGATGTCAATTAGTTTTAAATACAACACTATTATCTTTCCATACCTAATCTTTGAACTGCAATCAGTGCCAAGTTTAGAATCAGTTGGAGACGTAATGATTAATGTGTTACACAACGATCGACTCACAATGACTGATTACATAAGTAGACGGGTCGCCAAATAGAACTTTCGGGTCTATTCCGACATAAAGGTATTTGTATCATAAAACATATATTAATACATGTATTTTATAGATTATATGCCTTAGTTGTTCTTTTTACACGAAACTATTAAACTTATCTGCTAATTTTTGTTTGCCCTTACCGAGTAAAGCAGGGGCTAAGTTACTAGTCTATACTAATGTTATAAGGAGGAAAGATTTGTATTGAAATAACTCAAAAATCCAGTAGGGACCGATCTAAAAAGTTATTTTACCATTTTAAAAGCTACGTTATCAGTGAGTAAAATAGGCTAGCTTTTTTTATTATTTTTTAATTTCAACCGGGCGAAGTCGCGAGCAACGGATACTAGCCGTAAACCAAACCTTACAAAGCAAAAAGCTTTCAACGAATTAACTAACTCCGTTGACTATTATTATGTTATTATAATACGTATATTATTAGAACAGAATGTTAAGAACAAGCTTTCATAATAGCTTGAAAAAATTTCATACATAAACTTCAAAGGATTTTTATTAGAAACAGATGGGAGATCAAACTAGATTGTAAATCATTTTTTTCTATACAAAGTGTATTATTTTAACCGCAATTTGACATTTGAGACAAAGTAAAACTAGCAACACTAAACATGTAGAAAAAAGTTATAAAAAAAAATCAAAATAAATCATAAAGATATTGAAAGTTTTCGAAGTATGAATGCAAGACAGTCAATAGTTCCAATTCGTTGATCATGTTTTATGCAATCGCCTTTTTGAATGAATGAATATGTATTTATTGTCACAAAAAAGTTACATAAACGGACTTATTCTAAAGAAATTGTTGCAAAAGGTAGCCAGCGGTATGCAGGAGGGACTAAGCCGTTCCTGCGTAGATTTTTAGCTGGCTCCGTCCTAGCAATAGGGTAACAGGCTGTACTAATTACATATACAGAAACTAAACACAAAATACATTTAAAAAAAAACACTTAAAACAAAAAAAAACGATAAAGAAAACTGTTTAAATTATTAATAGAAACAAAAACAATCATACTTTTTTAAAATGACATGGCTTTTTTTCATTGTAATGATACTATCTAGTTTGTAAAATAATAAAAACAGCACACTTTATAAAAATTCTTCAACGATGAATAACGATTAATTCTTTTATAGCGAATAAAACTTTAATGATTCAGCATATTTTTAATCTATGACAATGCTTTAAATGTAATTTATTAATGCCAAAAAAACGTCTATAACTAGTTATCTAAATACAATTAAATAAAATTTGACGATTTTCACGATAACTGGGCCAATCTTCATGGATAATCATTACCAGCTTCACTATACGTCCCCACTGAGGGATACGCAGACTTTCCCGAAGTTAGCGGTGACTAGGCAATAATCAAACAAGTTGGTCCAATGCAGTTTGGTTGGTTAGTCAAACAATAACTTGTACACATATTTTAAAATAGATGTGGTGTATTGACCTACAAGTAGTGTGTTGACTACATGTAGGGTAATGACTACAAGTAGTCTATTGACTATGAGTAGTGGTTGTCTCTGCCTGGTTCACGTGGATGGCGCGGGAGACAGTCGTATTCCTACAGTGGTGTAGAGCGGTCGTGTACCCAGGCTAAATGCATTATTCTATTTCACCTTTGACAGTAGAAACACAACAGGAATGATATTGCAATATTATTGAATTCACTTAACAGTATACTATTACGAAAGCTTCGAGTGAAATTACACAATGACATCATAATTATTAAATAATAACTGTTACGTGTATACCACACGATCTAATGTATTGCTTATTTTATCCAATTACATAATTATTAACAGTTATTTTTATTTACATTCTACAGCAAAAACATCGTAGTTTTTTATTCACTGTGAAAATCAACGTTAAATATTAGAATCTCAAAGTTACAATTACATGTAATCGTGGAATTCCATTGCCGCGATATTTGTATAGTCTCATGTTGTCTTTGTTTATTCAAACATAATGAAAGGGACAACACGTGCGAGGCGAAACAAACTAAATAAAGTAGCATATTTTAAACTAGATCTAAGATTGTCATGATTTCAAGATCAGAGAGTTCGAGTGTAGTTTTTTAACAAGTTTAACCAGTTCACAAGAAACTAGATTAGAAATATATGCTTTGGAGATCCACTTTCTACGAGTATATGATTAGATAAATTATATGGGTGGCATAATAGACATGTAGTATACAAAACACTTTCCAAACAATGATTCATTTATTGGCACGTTCTATTTTTTTTAGACTTAAATGTTTTGTGACTTGTGATTATACTACCAGAGGTTTTCCCGCTTATGTTACTTTATTATCCACTAGCTTTCGCCCGCGACTTCGTGTGCGTTAAATTAAAAAAAAAAAAAAACAAAAGTGAGTAGCTAATGTGTTCCTTCAGACTCTCTTCTACATCTATACCAAATTTCATTGAAATCCGTTCAGCCGTTTAGACTACAAACTCCAACAAACATCCATCCATCCATCAAAACTTTCGCATTTATAATATTAGTATAATTCTTGATATTCTCGATAAAACAGTTTACTTTTCATCTAAATACAAATAAAGATGTTTACAAAATAAAAGGTGTTTTTTTATTAAAAGCCGTAACCTTTCAATAAACAACAAACGATCATATTAACCCAGTATTTTGATCTCTGAATCGAATTATCGTTTCGCCTCGTTAGAACAAAAAACTGCATTGTACCGTTTACAATGGAATATTTTTGTAAGAAAACAAATAGTCATTGTTAGACTCAAAATAAACATTAATCAAAGATAAACAGAGACAAGCTAATGAGTAATTAGCGTGAGTTTAACTGATACAAGAAACGTCATGTATTTGGTTCGAGATATGTAATTTAGATCGTTGATATAAAGACATAAAAAACCGTTTACTGCCGCAAATAGGCTAATGCCTGTCACTATCGCTAATTGTTTATTTATTACTTATTTAACGAGGCATTTTCCGGGCAATTCTAGGTCATGGAAAATATATTAACAAAGGAATAATCGATAACTTTCAATTTCAGGTCCATAGAGGATAAGAAGACGGATTCGTTTATATTTTCACCCTTATCCAAAGAGTCGAAGTTAAGACGGCATATACGGTCGATGTCTGATGTCCAAAACAGTACTCCGTACAGACTGCCGTTCAGATCAAGGAAGGGCACCAACAGGATACTAACTTACGATTCTGATACGAGAAGCAAAAGGATAATGACTTACAATAGACACAGACTACTGGAATCATCAGATTCCAGCGATTTTGACGCGGCAAAGAATAATCTATGCATAGAGCGTAATATTAAGAAGCATACAGATTCAATGAGAGTACTTTAACATGTAAAGATCTGACTGAGGAATGCTCTACAATCTAGATGGGACTAGAATGTATATGTTGGGTTTCTAATTGTTATTGACTATTCAAAGACTTTCTGATGACGTGTTCCCAACATGATCTACAAAGACTAAAAGACTGTGATTGTGTTAGATTTAATTATTTTAAGCAAAATTTATTGTAAAATAAGTGATGTAGAATTTAAGACAATCTCAAAAAATGTAACAATATTTCAATAATGAGTATATCCTGTACCAAAAGATTTTGTTCTCTCTGTTTTCTTTAAAGAAAATAATGACAGTATGTTTTTGTAAAGAATAGCAGTGGAAACTGACGTTAAAATTTTTAGACAAGCTTTATAAAATGTTCCACTATATTTGTTTGCATTATTTCAACAATTAATAAGTCGTGCACAGGGGTGGCAAATTTAATTACGCATACCACAATATATGTTAAAAGTCTTGGATTCCCAACCGTCACCCTGCTCTGTCAGAGACAGATGAAAATGAAAAATTTCATCCGTCCCGCCTTTTGCTACGAGGGGACGGTTGGAATTTATTTCATTTCGTAACGGTTTCATCTATCACCTTTTTGGTGATGTGGGACTAAAAGGTAGGACAGATGAAACTTTTTATTCCCACGTGGGGACAGAGCGGGGTGACAGTTGGGTATAATCCAAAGTCCTAGCCTGAACAATGAACTTCAGTAATTCTAAAATATAATTTACTTTAAATCGTTTATCACCACTGCATTGTAACATAAACTGACACCAAATTTTGATTATTACTTATTCCGTAATTAGGTGCAATAACACTAATTTATGTGATTATTTAATATTCTATTATGTTATTACGTGATGTAAATAATTTCATTGAAGTATTAACTAAGACAATTTTGTAAATAAATTAATATTTGTTGTACAACAGTCGTTGAGTTTAAAATTTTTGTAATGTAATAACATCACTGCATTTTATATATCCCAATTAATACATTGTATTCCTTGACTAAAATGCATAAATATTGTTTGTTTTTTAAAAAGTTTGCGCACAATTATAATTGATGATATTCGTGCCATAACATGTTTTCTAATGGCTTCTAATTTTATTTTTGTTGATATTCTTAATTGCGACGAAATAAATAAATTGAAATTTAAATAATGTTTTCTTTTATTACAAATTGCCCCACTTGAACACTTATTGCCAGACTTGAAAATATAATTATAAAAACTAAAATTTTTAATTAACTTACTCAGGAATGCAAATGCTCAGCGTATTTAATTTCATCTAGTGGGACGCAATATTAAAAAAATAGCAATTAAGTTAGCAGCGCCATCTTTTATCACACTAACACAAGATTTAGGTCAATTTTGTTGGCTAGATGTTTTTTATGATTTAGATATAAAAAAACCTTGATAAAGCTAATTATAAATAATTGTATTTGTTAGAAATTTCTTAATCTCCCGGAGATTAAGAAAGAAAATTATGCATAACTGCAAGAATAGGTAGCATAGCCATAACCTTTATATGCTTATAATTTTTAATTATTCTTCTCATAAATAACAATTAAAATTGAAAGTTAACTAAACCTTAGAAATAGATGAATTTTAATATACTGTTTGCAAAACTTGATGAAAGATATAACATTAGAAGTAAAAAAAAACAATAATGCAAAATTACATTACAGCAGAATAGTTTTGCGATTATCACAGGCGTGTTAAATATGATGGAATGATTGGAACGTGATTACGAATTCTGCAAAAACAATTTTCTAACGATAAAGATTCAATTGTTTTTATTAAAATAAATTTACAACATTTGACCAAATTTGTACTTAACTAACATTTTTCGTTGGTATTTATTATGGGTATATACTCATAATAATAACAATAATTAAATAATTAATCTTTTATAGAAATGTGACCTTTCGTTTTTATTACGTCTGTGGCAATGGAAACTTCAAACTGTCAAAACAATGACAGCATGACAGGAAAACAAAGCGGAGGAAAACATAAACATTGCAAACATTCAAACTTATTGAATTAAACTTGTTCAGTCCAGCCAGTCGAATCAGTCGTATCCAGATAAACAGTACAGCATTTAACCTTGCTTGGACTTATTCCGCCTTGTGTGAAGTTTTAATGTTGATAATTTCCAATAAGAAGGTTTCTTTATTTCTTAAGAAAAATGTCTAAATGGCTAATTATTTTTATTTCATTGAAATATATCTTGGCAGATCCAACTCCCATTGTTCTTTGGCATGGAATGGGTAAGCATTTCTACGACTTCACTACAATATTGTGACAATCAATAATTTTGTATTAAAACTATTTTTTTAATATAGGTGATACTTGTTGCGTCGACTTTAGTCTAGGATCGTTTAAAGTGTTTTTGGAAAAAGAAATTCCCGGTGTTTATGTTCTATCTTTGCAAGTCGGTAATTCAACGATCGAAGATTTTGAAAATGGGTATTTCATGCATCCAAATAAACAAGTTCAATATGTTTGCAAATTACTGGCTAATGATCCAAAATTAGCAGATGGTTTTAATGCAATCGGATTTTCACAGGGAGCTCAATTTTTGTAAGTTATTACTTTAATTTAATTATTTAATTCTCTAATTTAGAGAGCAGAAAATTAAGTAGATAACATAATTATTATTCTATCTTTAATTTTACGTAGAATTTTATTATTTATCTTTTAAAAATAATTAAAACAAACCAGATAGTTACTGGCGTTATAATATTATTTTTAAATTAAATTCATGTAAAATATTTATAAATCCGAATGCAATAGTAGCATAAATATGCATATTTTATGATTACTCAATGTGTTCATTTTAATTGTACTTAGGAGAGGAGTTGTACAGCGTTGTGGGCATAAGTTGCCAGCAATAAAATCCCTAATATCCCTAGGGGGGCAACACCAAGGGGTCTACGGGTTGCCACACTGTGGAGCGCTCCAGCATGCGACTTGTGACTATGTCAGGAAGATGCTGAATTATGCTGCTTATTACAGGTTAATTTACTATCATACATAAATGCAAAAGTTGGATGGATGTTTGATAAAGTTTGTAGCATAAATGGCTGAACAGATCATAATGAAATTTGGTTTAGATTTTTTTTATTCCATGTGGATGGAGTCACTGGAGAAAGCTAGTGGAATATAAAAACTATATTACTTTAGGTAATATTCAAATTCTGTTGAACACTTAATTGAAAAAAAATCAGATATGATTATAAGTAAAGTTTACTTATTCAGCCTTAAACTAATAGAATAAACTGAGTAAAAGAAAAATTTGAACTAATATTTGCAAAGCTATTTGTAAAGCTGGTATAGTTTTATGTTAAAATTTAAAAACCTTTAAGATATCAATTTTTTTTTAACAATTCTAAACTAAAGGTTTTAGTTCAGATTTTCTTAATGTATTTTTTTATCTGCAGACATGAAATTTTGTACATATTATTTGCAGTTGGGTTCAGGAATCTCTTGTACAGGCAACCTACTGGCATGATCCTTTAGACGAAGCTGTTTATAAAAAAGAAAGTCAATTCTTAGCAGATATTAATAATGAGAGAGAAATTAATAAAACATACATCGAGAATCTTAACAGATTGGACAAACTAGTGCTTGTGAAATTCGAAAGTGATAGCATAGTACAGCCGAGAGAGACCGAATGGTTTGGTTTCTATACCCCAGGTCAGGCTAAAGTGCTGCAGTCGTTGGAGCAATCTGATCTTTATTTACAGGTATGTAAGTCTTAATTTCAATTGCATTGTTGAGAGCTTGATAACTAATAGGTCGAGACGATTGTGCGTTAAATACGCTATCTTAGTTTCGATAACAGAATATATTTGTATAAAATTGATATTTACACTCAGCTTAGTGCAGTTCTTCGCGCATTTCTAGTTACTATTAATTTTCTAATTAATTATTTACTTGAATTTATTTTTCTCTAGTGTTTGTGCTGAAGAGGTCCTATCTCGAAAATTTGTGAGAAAATGTTCGTAACACATCCACGAAATTTATTCGAGATTTTTTTAGTGTAATTTCACAAGAATGTCATATAAATTCTATCGATAGTTGATGTTACGAATATTATCTCGCAAACATTCGATACCTGGTTGTCGTCCCCCAAATCAATCTATCATCCGTTATTTCGTCTGTCTATCCATTCTTAATTAAGTCACCTTGTTTGTATTTAAATTTTTCAAAAATGCAAATGTCCTATAAAATGCCACTTTTTTAATAGGATCGTTTGGGATTAAAGAAAATGGAAGAATCGGGAAAGCTCGTATTTTTATCAACTCCGGGCGATCATCTTCAATTCGCTCAAGATTGGTTTATCGAGAAAATTCTACAACCATATTTATTGTAACATTTAAAAAATAATCAAGAAGTAACATCCAGTGAAATAAATATTATATAATTATTAACTATTTATATTGTTATCAATTTAAGGTTATATTATATAGATCTGAATAAAATCTGCGATTATTGTTTTATTTATTTTTGTTACACTTCATACTAATATTATAAATGCGAATGTTTGTTAGAGTTTGTAGCCTAAACGGCTGAACTGATTTCGATGAAATTTGTCATAGATGTAGAGAATAGTCTGGAAAACACATAGGCTACTTCCATTTGTTTTTTTAATTCCGCGCGGACGGAGTCGCGATCGAAAGCTAGTCCTTTATAAAATGTTTTTAATCGAGAAAAAACCAGCTTTTTTATCGTTTTTTGTAGAAATACTGCACACATTCGCTAGAAAATCTTTATTTTCCTTGATACAATTTTAATATCTACATATACACTTTCTATGCATACACGCTATTATAATACGTCCATCTTTCTATTTTTTTATTTATAAATGCTTTTAAAACATGGGCATCCTTTTATTGCTAAACTCATTCATTACATTTGTGATTTGATTCTAAAGTTTTTTATTCAATGTAGTTAAATTAATCCTTCCTTAAAATTATACGACAACCTTTTCTAGAGGCCGCAGTATTACAATGCGTACTTATTGTACGTACCCATATAGGTAAGTTAACTGAGGTAACCGCAAACTCACGTGAGTGGTACTACGTACTTCGTAAGATTTTATTTAATCCATGATGATGCATTTATACATCAGTCTTCACTTCCGTACCCAATATAGTATTTTGATAAAAAAAAATCTCTTAATCTATGTTCAATTTACTACCCATTTCAATTTATGGTATTTAAAAAGAAAAAAAACATGCATAAGGGTTGAGTTAAAACCTGACTTGTAACGATGAAAAATTGAAATTTTCGCAGATCATCTGCGACCTTAAGTTTTTCGACATAAGCAATAAAATTGCAATGACCAATAATTTATAAAAAAAAAATCAAAATACATTCATCAGACCCTTTTAACGATAACTTCGTTAATTTTTACTAAAATAACAACGTTAATGTCAGTAAAAATAAAGCACACTTTCATATACTGATTTTTATTTCGTTACTCTTAAACCATTTTTATTAATTAATCAAATTGTTTTCATCATTCAATTAAGCTCTCAAAGTCGTGTCGTTGTTTTAGCCGGACTCTATCAGGTTTATCCTCTTGTATCCTAGCTTCTATATACACGCGCACGTAGCGATTGTATTCCGAACTCTTCTTTATAAAAGGGGCGTTAGCTCCTCGTAACTTGTGTAGAGGGAACCGTGTTAAACAACTCATCAAGCACCTTTCTGCGACCTTGTAGCTGGAAAAAAACGTGGAGTAAAAATACATGAATAATTGAGCAAAGGGCAAAGGCTCCATTATTACTAATGTACTATAGACACACTGTTGTCGCTTTGCCAAAACATGTCCTAAAAAATTAAAATTGTTTAAAATGTAGCTAATTTTAAAGCGCGAGTACTTTTTAAACAGTCATCTCGCTCATCCTCTTTGAAAGAATAGAGACAGCATAAACTTTTTATCGTGTTACGTCAGTAGAATTACACGGTTAAAAAATTGTTTCTGTTAACTGTTGGTAGATATAATTTATCAATTATCGTGGACATTAACAGCTTAATGTGAAGGAATGAATTATTATCGTTTAGCAAATTCTTTACTCGCCAATATTTGAATAATGTGTTGACATTCACAGTACACGTGTATTTTAATTTTATTTATTTTATACGTATTTACAATAAATGTTCTGCAAATCTTTTTATATTAAACACTAGCTATTGGTCGCGTGATATAAAAAATATATGTAGACTATGTTACGCACTGATAACATAGCTTTTTAATGGTGGAAGAATTTTTGAAATCGGCCTAGTAATTTTTGAATTATTTCAATGCATACAAAAAATACAAATCATTTCTCTTTAGATGTTTAGATGATTTGACGTAAGAGATTGATTTACCTTAAATGTACCGTTTATATAAAAATGAGACAACATTGTCTTAGTTCGACAACACATTATCGACGAACGTGACAAAGTTTTACATACAGTGTATTTCGTTCTGGTTTCGTAATAACACTGGTAAGTCTACGCCAAGTGTACCGACAATATTTATCTATCCAATGCACCTTAGCCTGACCTACATTATCATCGCGTAATCTCTCTTCTTACTAATATTATAAATGCGAAAGTTTAGATGGACGTTTTTTAGAGTTTGTAGTCTAAACTATTGAACGAATCTCAATAAAATTTGGCATAAACGTAGAGGATATTCTAGAAGAACACATAGGTATTTTTGTTTTTTCTTAATTACATAAAGTCGGAGTCGACGAAGGTTACCCGTAAGGTAATTCAGAATAAATTTCAAAACTTATTGTAATAGATTACTTTCCAAGAAATCTTTGTTCTGACCGACTTCAAAAAGAAGAAGGTTCTCAACTCAATAGGTATTTTTATCTCTAACAACACATATGAAACCAGAAAAAGGTAAAGGTAATATATTAGTAAACCTAACATTTCACTTATTGATATTCAAAGATGACAAATAAATACTTACTCGTAAGGATTGATGCAGTCCATGCGGACGATTTTGTAGCCCTGGTCGAAGGCTTGTGCCATCGACTTACCTACCAACATAACAGCAAGACCCTGGCGCCGGTACTCCGGCTTCACAGTTACCATTTTCACCTACAAATCCGTAACAACAAATTCTAATATAAAGATTAAGAATAGAAAGAATTTCTAAAATTAAATAATGACACAATGGTTCATTGTTTCCTCTCGCTTTAATTAGTGGAAAAAAAAACAAACCTCATATACTTTACGTTCTTTATACATCTCCCATAAATTTGGAGTCTCTTGTAGCTTTGCTGTTAAGTATAAAAAGTCTTTCGTGTTTGGATCCTGTTTGAAATAGAGATATAATTAAATAATTACGTAAAAAATACCATTTATAGTGAGGATGACAAGTACATATTTTTTACCTGACGATAAAAAGCATAATTCCTAAGGTTCTTTGGGTCCAAGGGGCTGCTGGCGTAACTTACACAAATACCTGCTACCCGGTCATCTTCAGTCTTCGCGAATAAAGAGTTACCTAAAAAATTAAACTTTCAATTGGAAAACCTCTTAAAAAGATGTCGCTACTGTTTACATTTACTGTTTGGTACAGCGCCATCTATGCAACATATTATGTACTCGTTGCAAGACAATTATGTAGAATTACAAACCTTGCGTCTAGATGGCGCTACGTGTCATTTTGAGAAACAAACACACCACGGTAATTTTTTTTAAATGAATGTTATAATTTTGTACTTACCTTGTCGAAGCAGGCTGATTATGTATTCTTCAATGGCGCGATCATTGCTTAGGTTTATTCCTCGAGCGCGCACTAGGACGTGTTCACTGAGGTAGTGCTTCTTTAACACTTCCACTGCCATTTCATGATCAGCGCTCGTCAATGCGGTTATCGTGAAATGTTCAGGCTGTAGGCAATAAAGATTTTAACAGCTAAAAACAATATCGTGATATTTTTTAGACTAGATTCGGTAATCAATTTTTAAAAGACGGATCATATTTGATGTTTATTCATTAATAAGATACTAGCTGTTGCTCGCGATTTCGTCCACGTCAAATTTAAAAATATAGCTTATGCTACTCACCTATAACAGCTTTCTAATGGTGAAAGAATTTTTGAAATCGACCAAGTAGTTTTTGAGTTATTTGAATACATACAAATACAAATCTTTCCTCTTGATAACATTAGTTTAGGGGTTATACGAAGAGCGGGTGTTGATGGTCTCTTTGTTGTTCACGTGAACAACACCAGAAATAATCCTTTTGCATTGCTGCCATATTTTCATAAGAGGTAAGCAGAGTTATTAAAATTATTAATTAATTAGCCTCTCGGCAAGTTAAATTATATTTCGTTTTTTTCTTTACCTTCTCCTGTCGCAGTAAATCCTGTATACCGAACACACCATGGCAATTTCTTTGAACAATCCTCCCAGTGTTACGTATGATGGGTGAAATAATTTTTGTCATCGATTTAATTAACATTATTGTGTAAAATATACAGAAATTTTTTCTTTTCAAAACCAAATAATGACGTCTATCAAATATTTTTTTGTCAATTCTTGTCATCATAGAGTAATTAAAAAAGTTATTAGGATGAAAAAAACAGGTTGAATTCGTTTAGACCGTCTCATGTTTACTGCGTGTTTTCACTACAGAAACACGTACAGGAAAAAGTATTTGCATCCCTGATATTCTCTTTTAAAAGCGGCGATAGTATGTTTCTTTATAAGTATTTCTGCTGTGGTAAGTCAGTAGCCATCATATCATGCCAGCTACTCATCTTCAATTTCACGTGTATAAGCAAAACTGACAACTGTACACTTTAGATATAAATAAACTAATCTACAAACGTGTCTACCGGGCGTTAGTTTTACCTGAACAGTCTGACTAGGTGTGTTGCGGGCTTTACAATTTATCTTCCTACTTCCTTAATCGAATTGTAAAATGAAATAATAAATAATGCCGCTCACGTATATGCAATTTACTTATTCGTCTATTCTTTGCTTAATTTAACTGATTTAATAGCAATATAAAATTTTATAGTTCCGTAGTTAACAAGTTTTTAATAAGTGTTTATGTAAACGGTCCTTACATCTAATGTTATGATTCAACTAACGGACAAACAGTGAAAATAATATGCAGTTTGTATTTGTTGCAGTAACTATTTACTGTAAGTTAATCTATACTATTATAATAAAGCGTAAACACATACTTCTTTATTGCCCAACATGTCAGCAACTACAGCATATTTTTGAATAATCCTTTTTTTAATAAAAAGCCTTACACTTACGTCTTTAGGCTACATATTTTCACGCCATTAAACTAAGGGGGTAAATATTTTGGTTAAACCATAATGTGGGAAAGAGACCATAAGTTGCTGCCAACATCAAGGAAGCAAAATTGCCATACTTTGTCATGATGTCAAGTCATTTTGACATTTGCAATTGAATTTGACAAATGTAATCAATAAAACAATTTTCATAATTTCGTACGAATGAAGTCGCACGGGAACAGCTAGTTTAGAATAAAACCTAGTTTAGAATTACAAGAGGTGATTGCTACATAATCGCCTAAACAGACATAGGGCAGCCCTTTTTTGGCCGACAAAAGAAACCGTACAGGGCAATGAAATTTACTAAAGCGTCTCATTAAAAAACAAACATTTACTATTAATAATTAACGTATCTACATTTAAAACCCATTTACCAATTGTTATAATCTAGGACTATTTGCAGGTACAATAATTTTACACAATTGTTTCGGAATCAATTTTATCGATGTTTCAAATGACCAGCAAGATGACACAACACTATCAGAATCACCTCTTAGCAGCGAAACAAACGACACAGACGTGACATTTCCCCCGCAAGGCACCTCAACAAAAGATACCAAGAGAAGATTCATGGTAGTCAGTCCACAGCCGGTATTCCTACGGCAGGACGAAGCGGAAGAAGAAAAAGACGCTAGTTTAAAGAATAAAATCAAATTGCTCGTAGAACAATGCATACATGACGCTAAAGAGAAAATGGAAACAATAAATTCATTGAAAGACAAATACAAAGACGATCCACCTTATAAAGTTGGATTTATATTTCACAATTTGAAGAAATCTAAAGATGTAATGAGTGAACTTTTTAATGTTGCGGTGAAACATCGTCATGATTGGAAGGCGTTGGAACAGATGAGGATATTCGAGTTGATAGTTCATACTAACGTGGATACGACCAATCTGGTGAGACAGCTGGTCGAACTGCATCTACACAATGTAAACTCAACAAGCACAGGTTCCGGTAGTATGAAAAAGAGGGTAGTTTTATTGTAAAGTTGAAAGTTAGCAAGAAAACTGTAATAATAAAATTTTAATATCTCCTATTGATAAACATTGATTTTAGTTAGTCTCTTTTAAATATATAAAAAAAAGTCTGATAAGAAAGTAAAATTAAATCTTATTTAAATAATTACTAGATCCAATTTTAAATATCAAAATCTAGGTTGCAATAAGAATAGCTAATGTTTTAAAAAGCACAAAACATGTAAAACTAAACACAAAGCGTTAAAAAGCCCAGGTGAGGTGACAAAAGGTGTGACGTCATCAACTAATGCACTATCCCGCATCTCCAGCCTCAGCTCAGGTGTTCCGCAGTAATTACTGGCAGCAAAAGATGACTTCTCATTATTTAAGATGGTAGACGTGTGGTTAGGAACATTCAGTTCGTACAGCATACATCTCCGAACAAAGACTGATTATTTTCCGCTGAAAAACATCGTGTAACCTCCTAATGAAAAATACGTGTGAGGTGTGAGGTCGCGCCGAAGAAAGAACATTGTTGTTTCTATTTTTACTATGTACTAATGCTAATGGTTCTTTTTTGTTTGAACGTTGGCAACGTTACTCTTTAATCATTATAACATATCAAACATTTTTTGTACACATATCATTTTTTTGTTTATGTCCGGGTCACAAAATGTATTTTAATTATTTATGGAAAGAAATTAGTTGAACAGTAATATATAATATTTATGTATAAAAACGTACTTTAAACAACTATATAAGTAATTCAATTATACACAGTGATTCTTAACGGACGGATCAACGGTTTCGTGAAAGCAGAGGACCTCAATAGCCCTAAAAAATAGACCTCTAAAATTTTAATTTTTAAACTTGTTTGAAAAACTTAGTTTTCGTATGTTTTGTATGTTACAAGAGATTGTCGCCCTCGACTATTTAAAATCGTACTTTTTACATGAAAAACAAATGAAAGGCGAAGAATCATTTCTTTGATTTTAATTATGCTGCTAAAATTAATTAATTTCTTTCACTCTATTTACTCTATAATTGAAATAATAAACAATTAGAAATAAATAGAATGGAATTGAAATTGTAAAAATTATCAAATTAACTCATAATATAATATAATTTAAATAATAAATTAAAACAATCATATAAGCATGTTAGTGACAATGGGCACAATAATAACAATACGTGTATCTACTCGTACATAAATGAACGCCAATATAACTCCCCCCCAATTTGTATAACAACCGTCCGTGCAAAGGCTTTGCATTGCATAAAACAAAAGAGCCCAACAATGGACATATGGAAACTTTTTTGGCTTAATAAACAATGGAGTGTAGGTGAACGTGAAATAGACGTATTTTGGGCGTAGGGATGTCTGCACAATGGTTCGTTTCTATTTTAATTTTCTACGCGAACGCATACCGATTGTGCGTATCGGTTCACTATTCGTTAGCCAATTTTTTTTTCCAATTTCAACACTTGCCGCTTTTATAAAGACTCGTTTATGTTGAACATTTCGGCTGTTTGTTATTGCCTCATTATTTATATCTAGGGATGAGAATGGCAATGGCACCTTGACTTTATCACTATAATTTGATGAAAACGAATTAATATATTTCATAATCAAATTAGGTTTTTAAAGGAATTTTTTAAAAGAGAGAGGTATTTAGGACTTTAAATTCACGGTTAGAATTCTCTTTAAACGACATAGTAGATTTAATAATTATGGTACATATTACAATTAGCAAACCCTGGGACTTTGTGATTTAAATTTGTCTATTATATCGACAAGGTACTCTGATAGGCATATCGTAGAGTACGAAATATAAAATTTATATAAAATAGATAAAAACACAATTTAAAATAAGACCACACTAATATGGTCCTTTCCCCAGTTATAGCTTATATCATAGGCTGATGACGCCCAAAACTGCCGTCATAAAGTGGTCCTCCTACTGTGACTAGATTATGCATAATTTAAGATACAAAGAATGTGGTATTTATTAGTCTAAGGGCCTGTCCCACCACCACTACTAGACGATAGAGGCTAAGATAGCTTAAGAATGACGTCACTGTCAAATAAGGTAACAAAATCCGATATTTTCATCACATGTTTTATACGTTGGATTTTTATCAGATAATTTATAATTTGGTGGGACAGGCCCTAATTTTATTCATATCTAATGAGATAAATAGTATAGACTTTAATTTTTTTATTAATATCTTCATATAATATTATTATGATGGTGGTTATTATTTTGTAACGTTGTCAGCCCTGGGTCTGTCTACGAGCGGCTAGCGAGGCCGACGGAGTGTTTGCTAAATTGAAAATTATTTACTATGCTACTTATTACAATAGGTATGAAATGTATAATAAATATACAGTATTAAGAATTTAATTCTATGTTAGTATTAAAAAAGTACAATTTGTAACAATAAAGAAAATACATTACAAAATGAAGATTAATTTTTTAATTAACAAGCATTAAAAGAAAGTAAAGAATTAAAAGAATATTAGATATGCGAATTCTATCTGCTTTCCATCGATTTATTAATTCATTCGTCTCTCTGTTAATAGCAATTTATAGATATATAAGTACTTTCTGTAAATTGTTTGTTATACATTCGTTTTAAGTAAATGTATGCAAAAATAAAAGCAAACCGCAAGCTCACTCCATCACAATCAGTTTCAGTGGACGCGAGGCATTTCGGAGTACGTTCGGACAGGGACCGTCTTGTGCTGCCTAAATACTATATACAGTGTTCACACCATCTTAATACTTGACAATATTCTCAATTTTTTAAAACTTTTTGAACCAGATCAGATAAAGTAGATTAACAAGATCTGAATAAACAGGTTGTAAACAATTGGTCAATTTTGTGCCAGTTGTTATAAGCAGATATTTTCTTTTATTTTATATACACTTGTATACGTATTGTATGTTACCATAACTGTGAGTTTCACTGTTCAATCACATTTATGAATCATACAATCTTCTTCTTAATTCGTTTTAAAAAACCGTGGGGCTTTTATTTTAGAGGATAATTGTTTCTAAATATATGTAGATTAGTTTTGATGCGAACGATATAGTATTAGTTACAGACTTGAGCAAAGTAACTTGATACGATAAATGTAATGCAATTTAAAGAATTGAGTTGCATTTCAGATGGAATAAAATAAAGTATCAAAACTGTTCATTCCCAGTATAGCATCCGGTCGGCGACT